CGATGAAATTAAGATGGAAATTTAAATATTCCTGGAAATGAATGACAACAAAGAACCAAGCTATCAGAACCTCTAGGACACAGACAAAGCTGTGTTCAGAGGAAAATTTATAGCACTTAAGACCTACATTAATAAGACTGAAAGACTACATATCAACAACCTAACATCACATCTCAAGGATCAAGAAAAACACAAACAAACCAAACCCAAGACTAGAAGAAGAAAAGAAATCACGAAAATCAGCGTGGGTCAAGCCTATATCCCAGCAGTACAGTACAGTGGGTCAAGCCTATATCCCAGCACTTTGGGAGGTCAAGGTGAGAGGACTGCCTGAGTTCAGGGGTTCGACACTAGCCTGGGCAACTTGGTGAGACCTCATCTCTACAATAAAAAAGTATAAAAAATAAGCCGGGCATGGTAGCATGCACCTGTAGTTCCAGCTACTTGGAAGGCTGAGGTGGAAGGATCACCTGAACCCAGTAGGGTGAGGTTGCAGTGGTTATGAGCATGCCATTATACTCCAGCCTGGATGACAGAGTGAGATTCCAACCCCCACCCCAGAAGTAAAGAAATAATGAAAATCGCACAGAACTAAATGAAACTGAAATTTTAAAACTACAAAGGATTAATGAAACAAAAAGTTGTTTCTTTGAAAAGATAAACAAAATTAATAGAACACTAGCTATATTAATTTTTTTTTTTTTTGAGTTGTAGTCTCACTCTGTCACCCAGGCCAGAGTGCAGTGGCACGCTCATGGGCACCCCAGCGTTGACCTGCTGAGTTCAGGTGATCCTTCTGCCTCAGCCTTCCAAGTAGCTGGAACTACAGGTGCACACTACCACACCCGGCTAATTTTTTATTTATTGTAGAGACAAGGTATCGCCAAGCTGCGGGCAAGTCTTGAACCCTCAGGCTCAGGCAATCCACTCACCTCAGCCTCCCAAAGTGCTAGGATTACAGGCTTAAAGCACTGTACCTCGTCTAGCTAGATTAATTAAAAAAACAGAGAAGATTCAAATTAGCTCAATCAGAAATGAAAATGGAGACATTACAAGTAATATGATGAAAATTCAATGATCATCCAAGATTATTATGAAGACTTCTATGCAAACAACCTAGAAAATCTAGAGGAAATGGATGAATTCTTGGAAACATACAGCCTCCTAACCTTGAATCAGGAAAAAATAGAAGCCGGGCTCAGTGGCTCAGCCTGTAATCCTGCGCCTTGGGAGGCTGAGGTGAGTAGATTGCCTGAGCCCGCGGGTTCGAGACCTGCCTGGGCAACTTGGCGAGATCTCATCTCTACAATAAATCAAAAAATCAGCTGGGCATAGTAGCGCGTGCCTGTAATTCCGGCTACTCGGAAGGCTGAGGCAGAAAGATCACCGGAGCCCAGCAGGTCGAGGCTGCGGTGGCCGGGAGCGGCCACTGCACTCCAGTCTGGGCGACAGAGTGAGACTCCAACTCAAAAAAAAAAAAAAGAAAGAAATAGAAACCCTGAAAAAAAAAAGAAAAAGAAAAACCCTGAACAGACAATAATGAGTAGGGAGATTGAAACAGTAATCAGAAATCTCCCAACAACAACAACAAAAAAGTCCATGACCTGTTGAATCATAGCTGAATTTTACCAGACCTTCAAAGAAGAATTAGTACCAGTTTTACTGAGGTATTCCACAAGATTGAAGAAGTGGGAATCCTCCCTAACTCATTCTACGAGGCCAGTACCACTCTGATACCAAAGCCAGTAAAAGACACAACCAGAAAAAGAAAAGGACACACCAATATCCCTTTGTGATCACGAACGCAAAAATTCTCAAAATAATATTAGCAAACCAATTTATATAACAACCAAGTGGGTTTTATCCCAGGGATACAAAGGTGGTTCAACATATGCAAGTCAATCAGTGTGACTCACTACCTAAACAGAATCAAAAACAAAATGTAGCTGGGAGTGGTGGTGTACATATGCAGTTCACTACTTGGAAGGCTGAGGAGGAAGGACCACCAAAGCCCAGCAGGTCACGGCTGTGGTGGCCGTGAGCGTGCCGCTGCACTCGAGTCTGGGTGACAGAGTGACACTCCAACTCAAAAAAACAAAAACAAACAAGCAAAAAAACAAAATCGTGCCGGGCGTGGTGGATCACACCTGTAATCCCAGCACCTTGGGAGGTGGAAGCAGAGTACCGCCTGAGCCCAGGGCTCGAGACCAACCTGGGCAACTTGGCAAGACCTCATCTCTACAATAAATCAAAAAATAAATTAGCCAGGTATAGTGGTGCATGCCTATAGTTCCAGCTACTTGGAAGGCTGAGACAGAAGGATTGCCGGAGCCCAGCAGGGGGAGGCTGCAGTGACCCTGAGTGTGCTGCTGCACTCTAGCCTGGGTGACAGAGTGAGACTCCTACTCAAAAAAAAAAAAAATCATATGATAATTTCAATAGATGCAGAAAAAGCATTTGATAAAATCCAGCATCCCTTCATGATAAAAACCCTCAGCAAAATAGACATAGTGGGAACATTCCTCAAAATAATACAAACCGTATACAACAAACCCACAGCCAATGACATCATAAATGGAAAAAAGTTTAAAGCATTCTTCCTCAGAACTGGAACAAGGCAAGTATGCCCAATTTCACCACTCCTATTCAACATAGCACCGGAAGTACTGGAAGAATTCAGGCAAGCAAAAGAAATAAAGGGTATCCAAATTTGAAAAGAAGAAATCAAACCATCTCTATATGCTGATGATATGATCTTATACCTAGAAAATTCTAAAGACTCCTCCAAGAGACTCCTGTGTTTAATAAATGAATTCAGTAAAATTTTAGGATACAAAATCAACACACACAAATCAGTAGCACTGCTATACACCAGTAGTGACCAAGCTGAGAATCATCTAGGAATATATTTAACCTTGGAGGTAAAAGATCTCTACAAGGAACTATAAAACTCTGATGAAAGAAATTGTAGGCTGGATGTGGTAGCTCACGCCTGTTATCCCAACACTTTGGGAGGCCAAGGTGAGAGGATTGCCTGAGTCCAGGGGTTTGAGACCAACCTGGGCATCTTGGCATGTCCTTGTCTCTACAATAAATAAATAAAAAATTAGCTGGGCATGGTGGCGCATGCCTTCCAGCTACTTGGAAGGCTGAGGTGGAAGGATCACCTGAGCCCAGCAGGACGAGGCTGCAGTGTCATAAGCGTGCCACTGCACTTCTGTCTGGGCAACAGAGTAAGACTCCAATTAAAAAACAAAAAAAGATGCAGAATCAACCTAAATGCCCATCAGTGGATATTGAAAATGTGGTATAACCCAGGCTCGGTGGCTCAGCCTGTAATCCCGGGCTTTGTGAGGCTGAGATGAGTGAATTGCCTGAGCCTGAGGGTTCGAGACCCGCCTGGGCAACTTGGCAAGACCTCATCTCTACAATAAATCAAAAAAATTAGCCAGGCATGGTAGCGTGCACCTGTAGTTCCAGCTACCTGGAAGGTTGAGGTGGAAGGATCGTCAGAGCCCAGCAGGTCGAGACTGTGGTGACCAGGAGCGTGCCACTGCACTCCAGTCTGGGTGACAGGGTGAGACTCCAACTTAAAAAAAAAAAAGAAAGAAAATGTGGTATATATACACTATGGAATTCTATTCATCTATCAAAACGAATGAAATAATGTCTTTTGCAGCAACTTGGATAAAATTGGATAACATCATCCTAAGTGAGCTAAGTTAGGAATAGAAAACCAAACATCCCATGTTCTCACTTATAAGGCTGAGGTGGGAGGATCACCTGAGCCCAGCAGGTAGAGGATGCGGTGGCCATGAGCGTGCTTCTGCACTCTAGCTGGGCAACAGAGTGAGACTCCAACTCAAATAAAATAAAATAAAATAAAATGTTAATATATATGCACATATGTTTATATAAGCATTTAAAAAATCTATTGATACGTGGGTTCGAGACCCGCCTGGGCAGGCGAGACCTCATCTCTACAATAAATCAGAAAAATCAGCCGGGCATGGTAGCGTGCACCTGTAGTTCCAGCTACTTGGAAGGCTGAGGCGGAAGGATCGCCGGAGCCCAGCAGGTCGAGGCTGCGGTCGCCAGGAGCGGCCACTGCACTCCAGTCTGGGCGACAGTGAGACCCAACCCAAAAATAAAATAAAATAAAACAAAATAAAATAAAAATCTATTGATAACTGTCTGTTATTATGGGAGAAGTTAGGATTGGCTAGGAGAAGGGATTTCCCTTTACATTGCCTGTATAGTCTACAACAATTATGAACTGTCAGGAAAAAACATCAAGATATTTCCACTGAAAAAATAAATATACCCGGGCACGGTGGCTCACACCTATAATCCCTTGGGAGCCCACGGTTTCAAGACCAGCCTGGCCAACTTGGTGAGCCCTTGTCTCTACAATAAATAAAAAAATTAGCTGTGTGCAGCGGCTAAAAAAAAAAAGAAAAGAAAAAAGAAATATAGAGTAAATAGTTAATTTAAAACTTAGAGAAGCTATAAATAGAATTACGTGCTCAATTAGATTTTAATTAATTAATTAATTAATTGAGTTGGAGTCTCACTCTGTTGCCCAGGCTGGAGCACAGCGGTATGCTCACAGCCACCGCAGCCTCTACCTGCTGGGCTCAGGTGCTCCTTCTGCCTCAGCCTTCCAAGTAGCCAGAATTACAGGCACATACCACCATGCCCAACTAATTTTTTGATTTATTGTAGAGATGAGGTCTCACCAAGTTACCCAGGCTGGTCTCAAACCAGTGAGCTCAGACAATCCTCTCACCTTGGCCTCTCAAAGTGCTGGAATTATAGATGTGAGCCACCACGCCTGGCCCTCAGTTCGATTTTTAAAAATTAAGGTTGTCTCCAAGGCTATTAAAGTGCAAGATGGTCCATCTGAGGAGAGAAGAAGGGAACAAGAGGAGCATGGAAGATGGAACCAAGATGGTAGAGTGTGGAAGCCATGGTAGAGCCTGGGAGAACAGGATCCCTACCTCAGGTGAGGGTAGCTGAGTGGGCAGCAGCCCATCCAAGGTGGTGCTCAGCAGCTGCTCCCCCAGGATCTCGGTCAGATGGTGTGCCATGGTCTGTTGCTGCTCCCAGCTGCAGTGGTTCTCCAAGGACAAGATGACTGGGTAGTCTGATGTCTGGAGGTGAAGGGAGGGGACACTGGATCCAGAGTTCTACATTTCTGTAACCTCCTTCTCCAAGACTCACTTCCTAGGCTCTGCTATTTACTCACTCAAATGAGTACTCTGCGAAACTCCTCCAGCTCCATGAGAGGGTTCAGTAAGCCCTTGCTGGGACTGAGCTCCCACCCCAGCACACTATTCACATCTACAAAGATATACATTTCTTGGGATCCCAAATCTCCTACCTGTGCCAAGACTGATCCAGGTCCCTCTGGAACCTTTGAGTTTCCAGGCTCAGAGTGGGAAGATCAGGCCATTCCCCTGGTTATGTGTTCACATTGTACTCTCAAGTTTCTACCTCCAGGTTCCTATTGTCCTGCCCTACTCACCATTATCTCTGTTTCCTATCCTCCCTCTCCCAGATGGGTATAGAACTTGTTACAAGTGATAGTTACTAACCATCAGCAGTTAGCTCCACGACTACTAATTACTAGTAACACATCCAACACTTATTCATAATCCTTTAGTATTTGCCTGATGCTTCACAGTTAAAACCTTTTTTTCTTCTCCTGGACTCCTCTATCCTCCCCAGACCCCAAGCCAGTCACTTTTCCCTCAGACCTTCTGGCCTCACCAGTGTTCTCATGCTGGAGCTACTACCTGGAAAGCATACTGTGCCACTGTGGCCAAGACATCTTTGAAAAGGATGCGAGAGGTCAGGGTGTGTCCGTGGTAAACAATGGGTTCCCCGCTAGGTCCATCCCAAACATCCACCTCCACACAGCGGCACCCCCGCTTCAGGGCCCTGAAAGAACCCCCAAACCCCCCAGAAATAGGAGAGGTCAAGATCTCATCCTCCACTTAGGGAACCCTTTCCCCACTCTGGAAGGAACAGCGCTCACCAACATTTACTATCCAACCCCTCTCTGTCTATTGGGACACTGCTGCAAGCTCACACTGATCTCCACCCCTGCCTCGCCCCACCCAACTCACAATACTTCTGTAACAACCCATCACATATTCCCTCTTGATTCTTCTGGTGTCCTGGTTTTATATCCTATATGTATAAAACACCTGGCTTATTCAAACGCTCAGTAAATTTGCATCTTATTTTCTCAGCTAGATTGCCTGAGGTGGAAACTATATGTTCCATTTCATCCTTGAATCCTTTGAAGCTAGTAGTTCAGTTGCTGCCATTATAAAGTTATCTTAACTAGTCAATCTAATCCATGATTAATCACTATAAAAGCAGCTACCATTTACTAGCTTTTTTTTTTTTTTTTTTTGATTTGGAGTCTCACTCTGTAGCCCAGGCTGGAGTGCAGTGGCACGCTCCCAGCCACCGCAGCCTCGATCGGCTGAGCTCAGGTGATCTTTCCACCTCAGCCTTACAAGTAGCCGGAACTTCAGGTATGCACTACCACATCGAGCTAATTTTTTGATTTATTGTAGAGACGAGGTCTCATCATGTCACCCAGGTTGGTCTCGAACCCACGGGTACAGGCAATCCTCTCGCCTCAGCCTCCCAAAATGCTGGGATTATAGGCTTGAGCCCGGCCCTTACTAGCTATTGACACATGGATTAGCTCATTTAATCTTCACAACAACCTGGCTAGGACAGGTCCTGTTATTGTCCCTATTTCATAGATGGGAAACTGAGGCACAGAAACGTTAAATACTTAGCCCCAGAGTACCAAGTGAGGGAACCAGGATCTGACCTCAGATAGTCTGACTCCAGAACCTGCGTCTTTTATTGTTTTGTTTTTTGAGTTATAGTCTCACTCTGTTGCCCAAGTTGGAGTGCAGAGGCATGTTCACGGCCACTGCAACCTCGACCTACTGGGCTCAGGTGATCCTTCTGCCTCAGCCTTCCAAGTAGCTAGAACTACAGGCGTATGCTACATGCCAGGCTTATTTTTTTATTTATTGTAGAGACAAAGTCTCACCAACTTGCCCAGGCTGGTCTTGAACCCCTGAATTCAGGCAATCCTCTCGCCTTGGCCTCCCAAAGTGCTGGGATTACAAGCTTGAGCCACTATGCACAGTCAGAACCTTTTTTTTTTTTTTTTTGAGTTGGAGTCTCACTCTGTCGCCCAGGTTGGAGTGCAGTGGCATGCTTGTGGCCACTGCAGCTTCAACCCAGTGGGCTCAGATGATCCTTCCACCTCAGCCTTCCAAGTAGCTGGAACTACAGGCACGTGCCACCACGCCTGGCTAATTTTTTGATTTATTGTAGAGATGAGGTCTTGCCAAATTGCCCAGGCTGGTCTTGAACACCTGGGCTCAGGCAATCCTCTCACCTCGGCCTCCCAAAGTGCTGGGATTGTAGGCATGAGCCACTGCACCCTGCCAGAACACCTGGCTTGTGTTTTTAACTCTTATGCTCTACTGCCTTCCATTTACATTCAGTTTATATATTTGTTCAATATAAATCTATCAGAGCCTTTGAGTTCCTAGAGCATTTCATAGCCTATGAAAGAGAGAGAAGTTTCATTACCCACAGGGTTTCATTACCATTCTCCCACCAGTCTTCAATATCTCCTCCAAATGTCTCAGGGACCCTTAGCTCCTAGTCCCCCATACCTTCTCAATCTGTTATATATTGACAGCCACCCTCAATTTCCCACAGACAGTCCCTCTCATTAGCTAGACCCCTTCTCTACCACCACTGCACCGTATGTATCCCTCGACGCTGCTCTGGCCACAAAGCTGGTCCCCCACTAGGTAGGTGTTATGAGAGGAGTTGATGAAGTAGTGGCTCAGGGGCTGAGTCATATCCTGGTAGACAGGGAGGCAGGCTGGGTTGAAGATGTCACCGTCCTTAGAGCAGAGGTAGCTGAGGAAGCCGTCCAGGCTCAAAACATGCCGCAGTTTGCCTAAGGTGGGGAGCGTGAAATACTAGAGTGAGAAACTCTCAGTGGGAGTAGCCCAACACACCTACAGCCCCTGGGTCCTGCCTATCAGATGGTGTCTATTCCCAGCCTCCAGATCCCAAACTTTCCCCACCCAGTGTTTATCATTTCAATCACTTCCACTCGGAGAGTGTTAAAGGAAATCATTAAGGTCATTCAAATCCAATGCTGTCCAACAGAACTTTTTACAATGATAGAGATGTTCTATTCTGCTGAATATGGTAGCTTCTAGCCACGTGTGGCTACTGAGTGCTTGAAATATAGATTGTATGACTGAAGACCTGAATTTTAAATTTCATTTGTTGTTTGTTTGTTGGTTTTGAGTCAGAGTCTCACTCTGTCGCCCAGGCTGGAATGCAGGGCATGCTCACAGCCACCACAGCCTCAACCCGTTGGACTCAGGTGATCTTTCTACCTCAGCCTTCCAAGTAGCTGGAACTACAGGCACACATCCATGTCCAGCTAATTTTTTGATTTATTGTAGAGATGAGGTCTCACCAAGTTGCCCAGGCTGGTCTGGAACCTGTGGGCTCAGGCAATCCTCTCACCTCGGTCTCCCAAAGTGCTGGGGTTATAGGCGTGAGCCACAGGGCCCGACCAATTTTTGTTCATTTCAACAGCCACATGGAGCTCACAGTAATCACAATGGACAGCACAATATCCAGAGGGCCAATTTTATAGATGGGGAAACTGAGGCCCAGAGAGAATAAAAGTCAAAGGCTTGTTAGTGACACGGCCAAGAAAACCTGTGTTTTCTTCCTTGGGCTGAGTAGCTGCCACTCACTACAACCTCAGGGTTTTTCCTACTGTCAATGCTCTCAGATGATATTTTTTTGTTTTGTTTTGTTTTTGAGTTGGAGTCTCACTCTGTCGCCCAGCCTGGAGTGCAGTGGCCGCTCCCGGCCACCGCAGCCTCGCCATGCTGGACTCCAGCGATCCTTCCGCCTCAGCCTTCTGAGTAGCCGGAATTACAGGCGCGCGCTACCACACCCGGCTAATTTTTTTGATTAATTGTAGAGATGAGGTTTCGCCTGCCCAGGCGGGTCTCGAACCCGCGGGCTCAGGCAATCCACTCACCTCAGCCTCCCAAAGGCGTGGGATTACAGGCTGAGCCACCGAGCCCGGCTCTCATATGATATTTTGAGGAACGTTTGTCAACATCTCCTTAGACTACACTCTCGTTGAGGGAAGAGCCCTGTTATTCTTTCTGTGGCTCTCACCCATCTCAGCACAGGTTTTATGTTACAACAACGATGACTAACAGTTATTGAGTGCTCACTCTATGCCAAGGACATTACATGCAGCATCTTGCTAATGCTCTCACTAACATGATAAGGTAGATATAATACAATCTGCCATGAGAAGTTAGGCACTTGCCCCAGGTCATGTAACTGGTAAATGGAGAAGCTGGGACTTGAACACAGGCAGCCAGGGGTGAGTCATGCCCTGCATCACTGGGCTGGGCAATCTCACTGAGAAGAATGTTGCTGCAGGGAGACTCGTCTGGGAGGGGAATAACTTGACTCCCATGCCCAGCTTCCTTGCTCCAGGTTGCTGCTGCTGCTGTTGTTATTATTATTATTATTATTTGAATCAGAGTCTCACTCTGTCGTCCAGCCTTGCAGCCACTGTAGCCTGGGGCTGCTGGGCTCAGGCAATCCTTCCGCCTCAGCCTTCCAAGTAGCTGGAACTATAGGCGTGTGCCACCATGCCCAGTTATTGTTGAGACAAGGTCTCACCAAGTTGCCCAGGCTGTTCTCGAATTGTGGGCTCAGGCAATCCTCTCACCTCAACCTCCCAGAGTGCTGGGATTACAGGTGTAAGCCATCATGCCCGGCTTCTCATTATTAAAAGAGGTACCAGGTGACATGGGTTTGAATCTCAATTCTTCTCTCATTAGCTGTTGGCTTTAAGCAAGTCGCTGAGTCTTTCTAGATCTGTTTTCCTCTTTTATATAACTAGCTTAATTACAAAACTCATTTCAACATGTCATTGTATTCAAAAAGTCATGGAATCCCATAGTATACTATGGGATTCCTAGCAAAGTCCCAATAAAGATTATTGCTGTTGATTTACAAGGTTGTAGTGAGGAATAAATGAAGTGAGGAATGTGAAAGTGCCTTGCAAATCATGTATTATTAATGTAAATTCCCCACACTCTGAAGGAATGGGGGGCAGAAGATGAGTCTGCTGAAGGGATGAGGGGAGGAAAGTTTAAGAACCAAGAGAGCATATTTTAGCTGCACTTGTTAAAAGGTAAATAATTGGCCTCATCATCCTCCTCCTAGCCAGGGGATGACTAGTCTCCTGGCTCAGGGGGTTAGAGACTCAACCACTTGGAGAATTTGAGGAAAGCCCAGGATAGACAACCAGCATTTAAAGGGACAGCAAATAGGAACCATGAAGATGAACCAGATCAAAAGGAATCATTTGCTCCAGAGAAGAGGCCAAAGCAAGAGGACCAAGGGTTTTCTGTTTCTACTGAGGACAAAGTTGATATCAGGAAGAACTTCCTGAAAGCAAAGGATATGAAACATGAGCATATGGAGGAAAAGGGACCCATGGAATCTTCTTCCTCATGAGAGATCTAACATTACAGATGAGACCCCTGTCTTATCTGGGTAGATAATGACTGCTCTCCTTTGGAAGGAGTGGTTAAATGAGATGACTGGGCAGAGAACTAAGGTAGGAATGACTCAACCTTGCCTAAGTTAGGCAGACAACTACTCAGGACCCCCCTGACCCCCACACCTCGTGCCTCTCTACCTGGTTCCTCTTACCACTGTCCGAAGGCTCATAGCGGTCAATGAGTTCCAGAGCAAGGTCAGAGGTGCAGTCTCTTTCTTTCTGCTCCTCTGTGAGGAAATCCAAGAATTCCAGCAAGGTCAACTTCTGCCCATCAGCTGAAAAGCTTTCAAATAGTTCCTGCACCTCAGCACGCTTAGTCAATGCCTTATAGAACTGTACAAATTCTTCCCCCTCCAGAGTCCCAGACTGGGACGTGTCTGCTGCCTGCAAGAGAGGGTTTAGGGGAAAGTGAATAAGCCCTTTTTGTTTTTTGAGTCCGAGTCGCACTCTCACTTAGACTGGAGTGCAGTGGCACGCTCACGGCCACTGTATCCTCAACCTGCTGATCTCAGGCGATCCTTCCACTTCAGCCTCCCAAGTAGCTGGAACCACAGATGCACACCACCACGCCCAGCTAATTTTCTGATTTATTATAGAGACAATGTCTCACCAAGTTGCCCAGGCTGATCTTGGACCCCTGGGCTCTGGCAATCCTCTCACCTCGGCCTTCCAAAGTGCTGGGATTACAGGCGTGAGCCACCATGCACAGTGAATAAACCCTTTAATGGGAAATTTTATGACCTTGACTTGCACTGTAAATGTCAGAACACCTGACATTTAGTGTTCATAGAAGAAATCACTTCAGTAAGTAAAAAGCAAAGTTTTAGCAATAGCATTTGCTACTAGAAACTATTTTCAATTAGAAAGAGTTAAATCTCACAAAGGTTCCTAAAAGGTCAGAAGATTCCTCCTCCTATTTACTCACATTCCAGTTGGGGTTTTCCATTATTCTAGGCACCTGTGAATTTCTAGCCATGGACAGAGAGGTCCTTGAGGTGCAACATAACATATTGTTATTTACCTTTCATAGAATTATGACTCCTCTTTCCAACAAGACTGAAGGGCAAGAATGATGCCCTATACTTCCCACTGAGTGTGGCATGGTGTTAGGTCACATAGTAGAGATTTGATAATTAAGTGTTGCTGATTAGAGTCACGGGACTTCTGGCCAAGTGAAATGTAGCTTGGTTGCAAATCCTTCCCCAGAAGCCTCACCTGAAAAAGACTGAAGGCATATTCTTGGTCCATTTCCACATTCATCAGGTGCAATAAGCGCTGAACTTCTTGGAAACTCATCCGACCATCCTGGTTTTTGTCTCCACGCTGGAACCAGTCACTCAACCATCTAGGTCCGAGTCAAGGCAAAAGCACTATACGTGTGTGCAAATGTGTGTGCATGTTCATCCATCAACAGTTCTCCCCATCTTTGCTGCCAGTCTCTCCCCCATGCCAATCCATTCTCCACACAGCTTCTAGAATAATCTCTCCAGAGCATCTATCTATCTCGTCACTGCATGGCTCAGGTACCTGTAGGGACTTCCCTAGTGCCTGCAGAAATTCATGTTCCTTTTTTTTTTGAGAGGGAGGAGTCTCACTCTGTCATCCAGGCTGGAGTGCAGTGGCATGCTCATGGCTACAACAACCTTGAACTGCTGGGCTCAAAATATCCTTCCACCTCAGCCTTCCAAGTTGCTAGAACTACAGGTGTGCAACACCACACCTGGATAATTTTCTGATTTATTGTAGAGACAAGGTCTTGCTAGTTGCCCAGGCTGGTCTCGAATTCCTGGGTTCAAGTAATTCTTTTGCCTCTTCCTCTCAAAGTGCTGGGATAACAGACATGAGCCACTGTGCCCAGCAGAAAATCCATATTCCCTAACAGAAATTAAGATCTCATGTACCCCTGTGATTTGAGTTGGGGTCTCACTCTGTCGCCCAGACCGAAGTGCAGTGGCACGTTCACAGCCACCACAGCCTCGACCTACTGGGCTCAGGCCATCCTTCCTCCTAAGTCTTCCAAGTAGTCGAACCTACAGATGCATGCCACCATGCCCGGTTAATTTTTTTTTATTTATTGTAGAGATGAGGTCTCACCAAGTTGCCCAGACTGGTCTGGAACCCATGGGCTCAGGCAATCCTCTCACCTTAGCCTCCTAAAATGCTGGGATTATAGGCATGGGTCACTGCACCCAGCCTATTCTACACATTTTCTTT